ATCCCATGGACAGAGGAGCCTGGTGGGCTACAGTCCATGGGATGCAAAGAGTTGGACACAACTAAGTGACTTAGCATGCACTGGTCCTTTTAATGCCATGTTATCAGAACTGTTCTGACACAAGGACATTGAATGCTGCCTCTAAAATAATTTTTGTGCCTTTCAAATTAAAAAAAAAAAGTTTAAACAGGGTAGCTTCACCAATCCCTGAGCCATAATCCATCTCTGACCTTCCCCCGGAGGGGGATTAGAGATGCACAGTGGCTCAGGATGGGGTGAGATGCAAGTTTGAGTTAAGTGACAAGAAAGGGCTAAAGGGAGGGGATAGATAAGAAGAGGACCAGGATGAAAGTCAGGTCAGTGATAGGGAGGTTCAGGGCATGCACGCATGCATGCTTGCACACCTAGTCGTATCCAACTCTGCAATCCCATGGACTGTAGCCTGCCAGAATCCTCTGTCCATGGGATTCTCCAGGCAAGAATACTGGAGTGGGTGGCCATGCCCTCCTCCAGGAGATCTTCCAGACCCAGAGATCAAACCTGAGTCTCTTGCATCTCCTATTAGCAGGTGGGCTCTTTACCTGTTGAGACACCAGGGAAGCCCACACATCACATTACTTGGCAGTAAAAAGCAAAGATACAGACCATGGGGACATGATCATGTCCCCATCCAAAGAGCTGTACCACTGTCACCTTGGCTGAATGTCCTGGAGTCCCCATCACCTACCTTTATGAATAAGCAGCCATGGCCAAGAGCATGATTAGATCTGAAGCTTGCCACTCAAGACTCTCAAGCATTTGAGCAAACGCTCATGTCAATCTCCTCTCTTCGCCTTCTCAGATTTTCTGTTTTAATCAAATTCAGTGTCGTGGCAAATAGTGAATACTCTCCACATTTTGCTGCCATGAGAAAGATCCCTGGGGACCCTCATCACCCTCTTAACTGCACCAATTTCTTCTGCTGAAATTTGACCCATTTTTCAATGAAAATACAATGTTCTAGAGGAACAATGGGAAGATAAAAATACCTGTAGAGCAAGTTTGTGTGTAATGAATGCCATGGTAAGGAATTTGGGAGAAGAGACTCCTCCTGACTGGATATTCAGGGAAGACATGATGCTTGCTATCTAAAAGGAAACTCCATCTCATGATTTTTCCAAACCCTTCTGTTGATGTCCAAGGGGAAAGCTAAGTTTCTGCCACACCTGGTCCTATGGATGTATGATAGATGGATATTTCTACATCCTTTGTGGAGAATTCTAGAAATTTTTAAACATATGTTTTGGAAACAAAACCCCCAAGTGCTATGAATGAAACAAATCAGTCATCATTTTTCCACCCATTCCCTCTTTGCAGCCCGGGGCTAAAATCACCTGTTGTCTCTGAAATAATCCTTGAAGGAAGAAGTCCAAGGGAAAAGTGCGGTTGTCACCTGCTCCAGGCTTTCTATTATCTGAGCCTGATGCTCACTCAAGACTGAACACCGCACAGGCAGCAAGCTCATTCGCAATCCATAATAGATAAAGTTCCTGAGCCCAAGTAGAGAAAAGGAGCTTCACTATGCATACTTTGGCCAAGATGCAGACCTTGGATTCGGTCTGAGCAGCTATAACATCAAATAATAAAGTGCAAATGCAAACAGCAAAAAATGTGCCCATATCACAGCTCAGAGTGTGTCAGAGCTGACCAAATCATTGCACACTTCTCATGTTTGATAAGGTACTTAATTGGTATCCTGTGGGACATCGCCGGGTGAGGGCTCCCGGCTTTGGGGCTGGCCTGGAGCCCACATCCTGTTACCCTGGCAGCTCCCCATCTTCCCCATTAGCTTAAACTACACGGAGAAACGAAAGCAGGATGGACGAGACACCTTCCTTTTTTTCCAAGGGTACTGGAGCCCATCCAGGAAACAAGCAGAGCGGGATGATGAAAAGCCTAGGCAAATGTTCCCAGCCTCTCCACTGTGTCCTCAGCTGGGGAAATCATAAAAACCAGAGTCATTTGAACTGCAGATTATAGTTTATAAGCACTTTTCAAATAGGTTCTCTTAATCCTGGCACAGAGGACTGAGGAAAGTATTTTGATTGCTCCCCACCCCCCCCTTTTACAGATCTAGAAATGAAGGCTCAGAGAGGTTGAGGGGCTTGCCTAAGGATATACAGCTGGTAAGTGCCAGAAATGGGGCAGAAGCCAGTTCTTCCTGTCTCTCACACCTGTGTTCTGTGTCGCCTACCCTCCATTCAGGCCCTCGTGAGTCAATCTCGTGACTTTCTGTCTCAACTCATACGGTAAAAGTCAGGGACTTGGAAAATGTCTGGGTAGAAATCTGATTCTCATCCTTTCAAGGCAGAGGTAAACCTGTGTTGAAACTGGGGTAGGAAGAAAAGGACTTAGCCCTTTTCCAGTTATAGGGGGAAAGGTAATAGGTAGAACATTGGTATTTCTTTCTTATGTACATGTTTGGCTGTGCTAGGTCTCCGTTGCAACATGCAGGATCTAGTTCCCTGACCATGGATCAAACCCGGGTCCCCTGCATTGGGAGCATGGAATCTCAGCCATTGCACTACCAGGGCAGTCCCTGGAAAACCAGTATTTCTTAATGATCTAGTTGATTCTGTCATAGTCACCCAAGGAGGCAGAAGTCCCCATCATACCGTGGGGACACGGTCACTCCGTGCTTTGTCTTTCTGGTCATCTGGTCTCTCTTTCTCCTGCCCTTGGCAATGTTCTGAGTGCTTCTGAAAGACATGGAGAACTCACATTCTGACCTCACATTCTGCTCAGACATAACCACTGTTTTTGCAGAGGTTTGAGAAGCGGTACAAAGCCTTCGGTCTCTCACCTTTGTGCACAAGCAGGACTGGCTTGAATCCCTAAGACCTCTGAGACCCTCCATCAAAAACACATCAGCTAAGCTCTTTTCAGAAACTGTTCAGGGTCTAGTTCATGGAGATGGGAATGAGGAGGGGCATGAAACTCATCAGGAAACATTATTCCACAGAATATGTGTTCCGGGTTCTCTCTCTCTCTCTTTTTTTTTTTTTTTAAATATGCCAGAGTTCTAACTTCTACCCTCAAGACTTAAACCATACTCTGGCAGACACCTGGAGAGAGGGATGACTCAGGGCTTGGCCAGGAACCCAAGTCAATTCCACCACCAGATTCTGAGATCAACTAGAGTGCACAGGGCAAACGTGTTCTGGTTATTTTAGTGTTCTGGTTAACTGGGAACAAGTAATGCATACCGAGGGCTTCCCCGATGGCTCACTGATAAAGACTCTGTCTGCAATGCAGGGGATGTAGGTTTGATCCCTGCGTAGGGAAGATCCCGGAGGAAAGCCTGGCAACCCACTCCAGTATTCTTGCCTGGAGAAATCCCATGGACAGAGGAGCCTGGTAGGCTACAGTTTAGAGTCATGAAGGGTCAGACTGGACTGAAGCCACCTAGCATGCATAGGGTATATTGCATATAATTCAGTCTTTCTTTGATGATTGAGAATCCAGAACAATCATTCTAAATATCAATCAGAAATCCCCACAGTAGAAAGACAGGAGATTGAGTTTATCCTGCAGTGACTTCCAGGCCAACTGCAAATTTATTTTCAGGCCCACTCCCACCACCAACACTCCTAACCCAGATGCATTCTTGCCTTTGTTGCACTGGATAGAATGAGTCAAAGACACTTGGTCCACGGGACACTGAAGTTCTCTGGTGTTAGTCCCAGTTCCCCTATTAAGTGGTTACATGACCTTGGGAAGCTATTTCATTTCTGAAACTCAGTTGCCTTAACTGTGCACTGGAAGGTTGGATCTCCCAGTTCTTCAAATTTCTAGCAATATTTTGTTTAGTCGCTAAGTCATGTCCCCTTTGAGAGCCCCAAGAACTGCAGCACACCAGGCTTCCCTGTCCTTCACTATCTCCCAGAGTTTGCTCAAACTCTAAATCTATATTTAGGAATACAGCTTTTCTCAAGAATCCAAGGAAAATGAAACTTTTCAAAGCTGGGAAGAATGAATGTAAGTGCAAAGTATTTACATTCTAAATTCATGGGTGGGGGTCATGGAGTCCCTGAAGCCCATTCTCTTGTGCCGCCTGTCCATGAACTTCAGGTTTAGAATCCTGGAATAGAAGATCTCTTGGGCCCCTTTGGGGTCTGCCTTTCCCTGCATCCATTTCAGTGGAAGCATCTACCCAAGTCTACAGAGCAGTGATTCATTGACTTTAGTTGCACTTTGAGACCACCTGGGAGGGGAGGCTTTCAAAGATCCAATGCTCAGTTTACTCTCCAAATTAAATCTGAATTTGGGTGGGTGGGTATCCACATTTTTCTTAACACCCTCTGGGAGTTTCTAGTCTGCAGACAAGTTAGCAAACCCATGCCCTGGGACAAGAAATCTCAAAATCAGGAGTAAATAGAATCACATAGAAGGCAAGGCAGATTACCAGGCCCCCGCCACTGGTGACAGTGATTCCTTCTGGCAGATCCCACTGAGAAGATGCACTGTGAGCAGGCATCCTAAGTGATTCTGATGAGGACCACTCTCTGGGAACCTGGTAATGGCCATTCAGCAGAAGCCCAGAGGAGTGGTCTTCCCTGATGCCCCCCTTCCTCCTATGTCTATACACCCGCCCCCACCCCGGGGTCTCCTGTCCTGCTCAAGGAGAAGTTAAACAGGCGTGCATTTGCCAAACAGCCTTTTTATCCATCTTTCTCATTTCGAGCGAACCTGGATCTTTTAGCCCGAGCCTCTAATCCCACCAGGTTCAATAATTTAAGCAGCACACTCATCAACGCAGTCAGGTTTAATATTTAAACACCAGAGCATCACTTAGGTCAGCCTCAAGGTGAGAGCTGCTGCTGACTCGGGTGTTATTGCTGGTTAGCAAACCAGGCCACTGGGGCCAGAGAGGACTGCGGGAAGAGCCCCGGCTCCCAGGCAGGTCCGGCGCAGCAAAGATCCGGCTGGCCAGCTTGGGTGGCCCTCGGCCTCTTGCCTACCTGGAGCGTGTGCAGTAGGACCTGCAGCCCACTGGCTTCTTGTTCGGCCATCACCTCGTCGGGTCCGGGGGAAACGGCTGCCTGCGGCCAGATCCAGATCAGGACTGGAAAGACAATGTCTGCCAAGCTGACCTCGCTGCCCGGGGAGAGGGCCTCAGCTGCACACTGCCGAGTGTGAAGTGAGCACGCTGCAACCCTAGCCCTCGGCCCAGGTGCGGTACCCCCCGACACCCACTGTGGGGATTAGGTGAGCCCCGGCCTGGGAAGGGAGGAGCACTTGGGCACAGGGGTAGACAGGGCCCCCGGCGTGAGTCACTCACCCACCTCCAGGCCCACGCAGGAGCCACCCTGGACGGCTGACAGGCATTCCCAGCTGACCTGGTCAGACTCCCTACAGAGGCTCGCTCGGCCCTCCCCGCCGGTCCCCCCCCCAACTTTATTTTGGTCTGTTGCCGGCTCCTGGGTAACAAGAGACCCGAGAGCGCTTGCACAACCGTGGCCTTGCAGGGCACAGAAGCCCAGGGCCCCCTGAGGTCCCAGGCTGAGGGACTGGAGCTCTGGCTGAGAAGGAAAAGAACTGCTCTGGGTTGTTTTTTATCAACCGAGTCCCTTATATAATCTGCAAATTTCACAGTGACCCTACAGACAGTGACAGTGCTTGCTCAGTTGTGTCCGACTCTTTGCGGCCCCAAGGACTGTAGCCCTCCAGGCTCCTCTGCCCACGGAAGTTTCCAGCCAAGAATACTGGAGTGGGCTGCCATTTTCTACTCCAGGGGATCTTCCCAACCCAAGGATCAAAACCATGTCTCCTGCACTGGTAGGCAGATTCTTTGGCACTAGCGCCAGGAGATACTATGATTGCATCTCCCTTTTACAAATGAGAAAACGCAGGCACAGAGATTCTGGGCCACAGGAACAGAGCTTAGGAACGTATGCCCAATCTGCCAAGGTGAACTGGCACCAAACCACAAGCAGGAGCCACGACACCATCCTGCCTCTTGCTGCTGCAAATGCATTGATCAAAGTTATACAGTGTGGGCTGGGAGACCTATCCCCTGCCTCAGAGAGAGTAGATGCCCTGGTGGCTGGTTTCGTCCAGACCAACAAAAGATCTATCACTTCTTTCTATGTTTTCTGCTCAGAATGTGTCACAAGAGCTTTAGCGGCTATTTGGCCACCTAAACCCTGCCCCCCACCCCCCACATCAACACCCACGTGTCTTATAGTCCTTTAGATACTGGCTTCTCAGAGCGTGGTGGGGTCATCACTCGGTGGCTTGTTGGACCCCACCCCAGAACTCCTGAATCAGAAGCTGCATTTTCACAAGATCCCCAGGGGATCCACAGCTGATTGACAACAGTACTAGAGGAGAAAACATTCAGGAAGCCTCATTTCTGACCCCATTGACGACATGGCCACAGAGAGCCCATGGGTTTGATGCCTGACAGCTTTTGTCTCCAATCTCCAGCAAGCTCCAAGCACAACTTGCACGTGTGAAATTGGAGAGTGAGCTCATTGAACTTCATGACCGACCAAGAGCCCAGCTATGCAGGAGGGCCTGGGCTCACAGCCAACAGCCCCATGCAGCGCTCAGGGAGCTCTCATGAGCATCGGAGCAGCCAGCTGGCAGCTGCCCAAGCCCGTTGTGTTGACCGATGAAAGGGACTCTGCATTTCCTGATCCTAGTTGGCTGAAACGTTCCCAAGTTAGGAGACAGACAGAGCGTCAGTTACTCCCTCCCCATGCCAGGCCAGGCCACACCCTCAGATTCAAGGATGAAATTCAAGTGGTTTCTGCCCTCCAGAAACTTCCACTCTTGTTGTTCAGTCACTCAGTTGTATCCAACTCTGCAATCCCATCGACTGCAGCACATCAGGCTTCCCTGTCCTTCACTGTCTCCCAGAGTTTGCTCAAACCCATGTCCATTGAGTTGGTGACACCATCCAACCATCTCATCCTCTGTCGTCACCTTCTCCTCCTGCCCTCAATCTTTCCTAGCAACAGGATCTTTTCTAATGAGTCACCTCTTCACATCAGGTGGCCAAACTATTGGAGCTTCAGCACCAATCCTTCCAAAGAATCTTCAGGACTGATTTCCTTTAGGATTGACTGGTTTGATTTCCTTGCAGTACAAGGGACTCTCAAGAGTCTTCTCCAACACCACAGTTTGAAAGCATCAATTCTTCAGTGCTCAGCCTTCTTTATGGTCCAACTGTCATATCCGTACATGACTACTAGAAAAACCATACCTTTGACTATACACACCTTTGTTTGTAAAATGATGTCTCTGCTTTTTAATTCACTGTTTAGGTTTGTCATAGCTTTTCTTCCAAGAAGCAAGTGTCTTTTAATTTCATGGCTGCAGTCACCATCCAAAGTGATTTTGGAGCCCAAGGACCCATTCTTAATGGCTTTAAATATAAAGACCTTCCATGTAGGGATTGGACTATAACATCTCACATTAATCGAGCATGGGAGTAGGGGGACAGCTGATCCCTCCACTTCCCCCACCTTGATGACTGGAGAGAAGAAATAAAGGCCCCCTGCTTCCCGGGTGGCTCAGTGATAAAGAATCTTGGCTGCCAAGCAGGAAATGTGGGTTTGATCCCTAGGCTGAGAAGATCCCCTGGAGAAGGAAATGGCAATCCGCTCCAATATTCTTGCCCAGAGAATCCCATGGACAGAGAAGCCAGGTGAGTTATAGTCCACAAAGTCACAAAGAGCCAGACATGACTTAGTAACTAAACAACAACAAGGATTTCCATCTTCTATAAGGAGTGACGCTTTTCAAGGCACACGTTCTATGATCCCTTAAAGGTCCAGGGATGCAGAAAGGACTGCACTGTCCCATGTCATTACCTTAAAAGCAGATATTCATGCCCCTTGGTTGTAGGATAAAGCAAAGGGGAGGAGGAAAAATAAGTCCTCCCTACCAACATATATCTCAAAAATAGTTTAAAGAACAAAGCCAAACTCCCCTGGTAGTCCTGTGGTTAAGGAGCCACCTGCCAATACAGGGGACAGAGGTCCGACCCCTGGTCTGGGAAGATCCCACTTGCCTCAGCTAAGCCCATGCAGCACAACTCCTGACCCCTCACGCCTGGAGCCTGGGCTCGGCAACAAGAGAAGCCACCGCAGGGAGAAGCCCGCACTCCGCAACTGAAGAGCAGCCCCCGCTCGCCACAGCTCAGAAAGCCCACACACAGCATCATGACACATTGCAGCCAAAAATGGGTGCATGCACAAGAGATTGGGATACTGGGATTGACATATACACACGACTGTATATAAAACAGACAACTCATAAGAACCTGCTGGGCAGCACAGGGAACTCTAGTCAATGCTCTGTAAGAGCCTAAATGGGGAAAAACATCTTAAAAAAAAAGAAGGGTGAATACACGTATAGGAGTGATTCACTTTACTGTCCATCTGAAACTGACACAACATTGTAAATCAACTAGACTCCAGTAAAAAGTTTTTAAATAAAAGAGGAAAAGCCACTTTGTACTGAGAATTCACACAAACTCTGAGGACCTGACATAAAGGTACTTTTGTGCTCACGGGCCCTTATTTAGCACTGACATAAAATTGACCCCATTTGAATCCCTCTCCTGGATTCTGTCTAAATGAGACTCTAGTTCCATGAGTGGGCTGATTAATTTCGGCTGGAGTATAAATGGGTGACAGTAGCTTAGTGTGCATGCCCCCATTAGTATTTGAGTTTCAGCAGAGACTTTCCTAAAAGGCAGGAGGAGATATGCAAGCTTGAAGTCCTCCCAGGCAAAACAGCATGCAGAGAAGATTGAAATGAATGCTCGTTACCCACACAGGGCAGTCAGACCCTGGGGAAGGTTAGCAAGGATGCTACTTTGCGCAGAAGAGAAAGGCCTTCCTTCATTACTTTGTACCTCTTGAAGAAGGCATTTAGCAAAACCTGGATAGAACTCAGTCCACTGACTTCAAAGAAAGATACATTTAGTGTGATCCAGAGATGTCTGCTGTAGTTTCAAGAGGTGTCCAACCCCACCTCCTGGTCCTGTAATTCACAAGAAGGATTCACAGAACTCAGCAACCTTGTTATGCTCATGTGCTCAGTAGTGTCCCACTCTTTGCAACTCATGGACGGGAGTCCACCAGGCTCCTCTGTCCATGGGATTTCCCAGGCAAGAATACCAGAAGGGGTTACCATTTCATGGACGATCAGGGGATCATCCTGACCCAGGGATCAAACCCAAGCTTCTTGCATCTCCTGCATTGGCAGGAGGACTCTTTACCACTAGTGCCACCTGGAAACCCTGTTACAGTCATGATTTATTATAGCAGAAGGATATAGATCAAAATCAGCAAAAGGAAGAGGAACACAGAACAGGGTCCCAGAGATACCAGGCATGAGTGGTCAATCATGCCCACTCAGGCCATTGTGTGGACAATGCTTACTTCTCCCAGCAATAGTGGGTTACAACCCATGCAGAGTGTTGCCAACCAGGGAAGCTCACCTGAGGCTGGTTGTCCAGGGTTTTCACTGGGTTTTGGTCATGTAGACACAGCTGAATTTAGTCTCTAGCCCCTCCAGAGGTCAAGCACACACCATGATCCAAGGTCCCCACCTAAATGATACTGTTTGTATAGTTCTGGAGGAGGGCATGGCAATCCACTCCAATATTCTTGCCTGGAGAATCCCCATGGACAGAGGAGCCTGGCGGGCTACAGTCCATGGGGTCGCAAAGAGTCAGACACAACTGAGCGACTAAGCATACACATCTAGCATGGCCCAGGGTCCCCAGATAAACAGACACTCTTAGACAGAACATTCAAAGGACTTAGAAATCACCGCTCTGGAGCCGAGCAAGAGTCAGAACTTTATTTGGACAAGGTTAACCTTTTACTGCACGCCTGTCCTCTTATCCCATAATCTTAGCCCCCAGAATCTCATGATAGCTTGTGAATAAGCTGGAGAAATAAGCACAGGTCTGTATAAATAGGACGATCCAAAGGCTAGTAGACTGCTAGTATTCAAAGAGCAGTAAATTAATAAATTGCTGATTCAGAGG